GAGACGTTCAACTTGCGAAAGATCGCGAAACGACGCGAAGATAGTTGCAAGTCGCAGTCCATGTTTCATGTCGCGTATGTGCATACACATTTTTTCGGACGTATTGATTGGCTAATGAATAGAGAATTTATGGATGCCGAAAAACTTTCTCTAGCGCTCAATCAGAACGCCGAAAGAGGTGTCACGTGACAAATGAGATATTAACCTGTTTCAGGTCATCGGCGAGATAAGGATCGACGATCTTATGGGAATTCACTTATCACGTATGATTGTTAAAATTTTGAAATTGAATTACTCCGTGATATGATATTAATTTATTAACTAATTATTATCTCGATATTCCTTTGAAAAATATATATATTTACTCGCTTATATATTTAATTTTGTTTAACACTGCATTTTTAGTATTAAAACAAAAATTTTTTATTTTCCAACAACTAATTCGCAATTGTCAAAATTGTTCTCTTTGTGCATGAATTTAATAATTTATTTTATTATCATCATATTAAAATATTTATGTTAATAATCATAAATTTATAATTGATAACATCGACATTCCTTAATTATCTCCAGACTTCTCGAGCCCCTTTGATAATCATAAAAATTTATCCAGAATTTTATAATTAATATCTCATCGATGTTTCTTATTCTGGTATGATTGCGTCATCTTCAAATTCGAATTTTATATTAGTTATATTATATTAATATGTTATATTATATTTGTCTTAAACTTGCTCTTTTTCAGCTTTTTTTTAACTTCTCGTATGGTTCTTCTATTTTTCTTCATGTTGTAGAAAAAAGAAAAGAGATAAACAACGCATAAAGTTTAGCTTAAAAAGAACAGATCTACTAATGTATTTCCGCTACCAAATTATGTCTATTTCCATCAATGTAAGTCAATTTCAATCTCGATTTACTTCTTATTTTTTTAAGAATTGAAAATAGATAAAGAACAAATTAAAGACCGAGATTAAAATTAATAGACATTAGTAAAAATGAAGATTAAGACGTTTTAAGATATCAATTGTCCCTCGTTATTATAACGACGAAGTTCCGTTGTCGAATTCCCCCGCGATAGCATCGATCATGCGGAAAACGATCCGGAAAAAAGAGAAAAAAAACAAAAGATAGCGAACAAGTGTAACCTCCGGTTTCTCAGTTGCGGTCGACCGAGCGCAATCAAAACCTAATCAGCCCCCGCCTGCCTTTCCACCCTCCCCCTCCTCCCCTCCGCGGAAGATGGCTTTCACAGATTTCGCCTCGCCACGCGCGAGGGGGATGAATTTCGGGGCTCGTATCGCGCCCCGAGCCGACGGTAAAGGAGGGTGGCGCGACTGGGGACCGTAGGGATGAAGACCGAAACGGGGTAGAGCGTATGGTAATGGCGCGTAATACGATCTGATTGCATTTATGATGAATGGGGGTCGCGCGGCGTAGCGTGGCGCGACGGTGGAAAGGGAAGCGACGGGGCGACGCGTGTCGAGTCGCGGGCGAGCGGTCGGAAATTCTACTTGCGGTTTAATGACAGCGGCAGCGTTCGCTCGCTCGTTCTCGTTCGATTTTCGACCCCTCGCGCTTCGTTCGTCCGCCCTGTCG